GTTATTGTGATGTAACTAATTAAGAAATAAAGAAATGATAGTACATTGTTAATTGTAGAAAAAAATTGAAAGAAATGCTCTTTATCCTTAAATTTAACTAGAGAATGTATGCTGTTTGCAGCAAAATATACCAATGGAGAAAATAAGAAAGAAAAACTTGGTGTAACTTTGAAGGGGCAATTGAAGATATTGTTTATGTATTAAGAAAAAATAATCATAAAGATGAAAAGTAATGGAAGAGAATAATTTGGCAGAAAGTGAAAACGAAACTATGATGTAAAAGGGACTATGTAAATGAGAGGATGTAAAAGAAATGACCAGAACAACTCTTTGTTCTTATATAAAAATATAAAATATAAAAAACCTTGGATGAAAAAAAACAAATCTATATTAAAATGTCCAATAGAGATCATATTTTTTCAACATAAAATAATATTATTGATCTGTAGATCCCTATTACATTTCTATACAAAAGGAATTAATAAGCACTGCCGTTTATGAGATATAACAGGAATAACATCTCATTTAAAAATACAAATTGCAAAGTCTTACTATTATATTTAGAATGGAGGTTATTATATGCCTCAGACAGATTTGGGTTTTAAATTTTGGTGGTGACTATATTCTTTTGAACTATTTCCTGGAAATTGTTGGTGGACAACAAAAAATGATTCTCTCTGCCATTCTTAGCAGTAGGAGACTTTTTGTTTAAGATTACAAAGGAACATTTATGGCCTCAATTAGCCAATGGACAGAAGACTTCATGTTACTTACACATTCTGAATAAATTGTGTACAAACAGAAATTATGAATCAACAATTATAATGTAGTACTAGAAACCTCTGTCTTGTTGGGTAATCATTTTAGATATTTCCTTATCTAAGCAGAAAAAGAGAATGACAAGGGAGAGAGGAAAAAAGTAATGGGGTCGAACTGAGTTTCCTTTTGAGAAGCTGGCAGGATGTATTGGAAACCCTTCCTTCCTTTCTCCTCCCTCCCTCCCTTCCTTTTTTCCCATGGTCAGCACTACAAAGCCTCCTGGAGTTTTCCCCATTCACAATACTTTGCGTAGATGGAGAAGGAGAGGAAAGGAAATGCTCATGCTGAATTAGTTTTAAACATAATTCAATAACCCTTTGAATGATTCCTGTCTTACCTGATGAATCTGGAAGTTGGTGAGCATCAACATCTGCAACTAAAGATGGATTAGAATTAGTGAAATACACATTATAAAATGGGTAAGTCATAGATTTTTTTCAAAAAAGTACATGCATGGGTTTGTAACTTCTATGAATGTCTAGCAATAGCAAATATCACTTATATACTGCTTCACAGTGCTTTATAGCCCTCTCTAAGCTGTTTACAGAGTCAACATATTACCCCCAACAATCTGGGTCCTCATTTTACTGACCTCAGAAGGATGGAAAGCTGAGTCAACCTTGAGTCAATGAGAATCAAACTGCTGAACTGTAGATAACCTACAGAACTGCATTCTAACCACTGTGCCAACAATGGCTCTTAACATTATATACAATGGTGGGATCCTCCCAGTTTAACAATTAGTTTGGTAACCATGCAATTTGTTTCTTCCTGATTTCTTCAAGTGATCTGTCACCTCCTTTTGAGCAGGTGGAATCATCTCCTCCCATCAAAAATAATTTCCCATCTCTTGGGTTCAACTACATGTGGTCCCCTGGGAGGCCTTAATTAACCATGGATATAAAAGAGGGCAGGATTCAAACCCCCAAGGAGCCCAGCCACTTCCTCAATGCTAACTGGGGCAAAAGCCAAGACAAGTTGGCTTGTGCAATGGGCAGTGACTGACTGACAGTGTGGTAGAATTTGCTGAAGAATCCACATGCACCAGCAGCTGAAATTTGAATGAAACAGAAAAGTAGCACATTATAGAGTTTGATTATCAATAAGGAAATATCAGGAATTTGCTTATTTTTATACAGCAAAGTTTTCCTTGTCAGGAAGGAGAAAAATTATTTTGCCTCAGCTTCCTCCTATTAAAGTCCCTCCTATCAAAAGGGACTCTTGAGCTCCCCCTCGCCCCATTCTTCTAGGAAAGCAAGATGTAGGCCTCAATACTCACTGCCTATGTCAGCCAGGAGGATCCCATAATTCCTCCTGCACTACTCCCATTTCTATCCCAATTTCTTTTCCATGTGTGGATGGTGGGGGTAGAAATCCTTGACCTCCCAACAGTGAGGGCTTTGTGGTGTGTGGTGAGTGTAGTCCACATTACAAGCCACTACCATTTATTCTCCAAGTACATCTTAAATTTGGGGAAACTTGCATACCATCTTCATCACATCATCAAGCTCCTTATTTGGATAACAATTCCTTTGTTTTTTCCAATTGTGTATATATCTCTTTCAGGCATTAGAGTCTTAAAGCTGACAAAGATTTCTTGCCAGCAGCAAGTCTCCTCTGCCAACTCGGTGCCCCCATTTCTTCACAGGACATCTCAACACTGGACATTCACTTCAGGATTACTTACTGCAGGCGCTGGATGGACAGCTGGGTAAGTTAGCAGGTGAGTCAGCAAACGGACTGTCAGAGGGGAGCAACAATGGGAGGGCACTGGATGGACAGCAGACATGAGGATGAGCAAGCGGGCTGTCAGAGGGTGGCAGCATTAGGTTGGCTCTGTCCTGAATGCTGAACTAGAGATTCAGCTGCAGCAGAGGAAGGGGTGAAGGTGGGGAGGAAGTAGCAGGTGGGGGCTTCCTTATTTGACACTCACCACCAGTGTCTCTTGGGCAGCTTCAGTTGGGGAGTGAGTGAACAGGTTTTCAGAGGGCAGCATAGCAGCAGCACTGAGTGGCGTACTTCCCATTTTGACCCTCTTACCACCGCTGTTGCCTCTGCAAATTGGCTCTGGACCGAATGGGCAGATTGGCTGTGGTGGTGTGTGGGCAGCGGGCTTCTGCCACGCTGCAAGTTTTTGAACTGCCATGGCCCTGCCAGTTTCTTTCTATGTTGTGGCTTTGCCAGGTTTTTTTTTACAGCGACACACCTCTGCACATTTTTTAAAAGCACTGTGGCTCTGCCATTTTTTTCTATGCTATGCCTCTTCAAGATTGTTTTTTAAAGTGCTGCTGCCACATTGCGAGGTTTTTTATATTTTATATTTTTATATAAGAACAAAGAGT